GTTCATTCCGCTGTGGCGACCCAAGATTAAAAAAGGGATTAAGCTGAAAAGAAAATTAATTTTACGTATGGTGTGAACTGGCCTGTAGAAACCAGCCTGTTTATTTGAAGCTCATGCATTGCAGAAAACAGCAGCTGCAGCACCAACAAGACCAGACCACTTCCTCTTTCCCAAGTCTTCACAGATGCCTTTTACTCTAAAAGCTATATCAGAGAAGTGGCCTTTAAAGAAATATTTCACCCAAAAATCATATATTATAATATCACATATTTGTTTTATAAACTGTGGAAGTCAAAGGTTACGACTTTCTTTTAAATGTCTTTTTTTGTGTACGTTTGTGTTCAACAGAATAAGATTTGAACCACTCGAGGGTGGGTAAATGATGAGTAAATTTTCTTTTCTGGGTGAACTATCCCTTTAAAGATGCCCATTACTCATGGATCTGGTGAGAGTTTACAGTTCATTTTCATGCTAACATCTTTGGGATTCGAACCATATCTTGAACACACTTGAGAAGATGTAAGTAAATCAAGAAAAGCAGAGAAATACATGATAAATAATTTTAGATGAACAGATATGATGGATATTTGTTTATACAAGTAGATGAAGTAGTGCGGAAAAAAACTACAGTTACAATACAGTTTAGGAATGTTGAATATTGCTAAATGAAGATAAAGATTTAGCGACGTCTGTTTTAAACTAAGCTAGCTGATACTGAGAGCAATATTTTTTATACCGTGTGTAAATTACAGATCAAAGTTAGAATTAGACAAAACTTCCCCCTTTGAATTTAACAGAACTCTTTATCTTTGTACTAAAAAAGAATTCCGTCAACGAAGCTTTACTGACATCTATTGGTAAGAGACTATAAATGCAGCTTGTTTGCAACAATCTCTCAGACGTGATAAACTCAGACAAGTTCTGAAATTGTCACGAAAATATATGTGATTGTGAACAAGAAATTAATAAACGGTCAAATGAAATTGGTAAAATAAAGGAGAAGCAGATCGGTTTGACTGTACAAGGGAAATACCTTCACACTGCCGGTGCTAAATCATTTGCCGTCGGTACGCAGAGGAGAGATATGCGCTCGGGCTGCAGAGACTGTGTACGAGAAATGGGCCGCCTGTCAGTGCTCTGAGGCGGGGGAGGGGCCGACGGCATCGCCCACAGCTCGTTGATTGTAGGGACGGTACAGTATGGACAAACATCAGTCATTAGATTTGTCCCTTGTCGCTTTTTTGAAAATTTGTCGCCAGGGGGTCTGAAAAGTTGCTAAATCTAGCGACAGAGTCGCTAAATTGGCAACACTGATACGACTGGCCAACAGCTAGAGTGCGCTAGTGCTTCTCTGACGCACACATTTGTTTGTTTATATATATATTTATTTATGATTTATTTTTTGTTTTAATCTTTCTAGTGCATTTTAATGTGTTCTTTTATTCCCTGTAGAACAATATAACATTACGTTAGTGTTCTGTCCGGTCAGCGCTCGTAGTCTGTTGGCATCTCTCATCCTTGTGGTCATATTATGACTAACATTAGTTGATGATACTGGCATATTACTTTTTTTCCAACCTGCCCTACCAGGTCTTCTCACCCTTTTTGTAGCGACAGAAATATCTAATCTCTAATCTAATTTTGGTGGTGAGTTATTTTGAAAAAGGTTTTTTCCGCATAGTCTCATGGCCGGTTAGCTCAGTTGGTTAGAGCGTGGTGCTAATAACGCCAAGGTCGCGGGTTCGATCCCCGTACTGGCCACAACATTTATTTTGACTTGACGTTTCTCAGTTTATAGATATGAATCTTAATGCATTTTACAAAGATTATATTATTATTATTTAAAAAAAAATATATATTATTTGAGAAAATAAATTCATTCATTTTCCTTTGGCTTAGTCCCATTTTTCATCAGGGGTCATCACAGTGGATTGAACCGCCAATTTATGTATATGTGCATATGTTTTATACAGCGGATGCCCTTCCAGCTGCAACCTAGTACTGGGAAACACTCACATTTACACACATACACTGTGGACAGTTTTTTTAATTCAATTCACCTATAGCGCATGTCTTTGGTGTACCCGGAGGAAACCCACACCAACACAGAGAACATGCAAACTCCACACAGACAGCCCAACTGGTCCAGCCAGGACTCAAACCAGCGACCTTCTTGCTGTGAGGCGACAGTGATAACCACTAAGCCATTGTGAGAATTTATTTGTAAATAATATATATTTTTAATGTGTTGGCACGAGGGCAACTATGCAAGAAGGATTCAGATGGCGCCCATGGGAAAAGGGCCAGGCATATTTTGGTGGGGTTTATTGCCACTTGCCACTTAGTGATTTTTGAATGCTTCATCAATTTTATGGGGTGATGAGCTTCATACAATATCTGTCAACTTGACAAACTTGATTGGGCCATAGAAATTCCAAAACAAAACAGGAGGGTGGCGGGAGATAGGTGTGAAGAGTGGTGTAGCTGGTATACTGCGTATGCCTACGTTTTTCCACAAGATGTTTGGGTATTTCGACTTCTGAGGATCAATAATTGCGTATACCCTCTGTATTTTCACTAGCTTTGCTGATTAGACAACCATTATGTATGTGTATTTGCGTGCCCTTTAACTATATACCAAATGTTTTTTTTAACTCGCATCCTAATTTGTTGCAATAGGTGCCATTTTGTTTAACTTGCACCATTCCCCGCCCTCTGATGACGATTTTCTTAGTTTGTTTCGAAGACCTCAAGTCAACTGTTGCTATGCTTAAATAACATAGCGTTATGTGATTTATGATTTGTCTTTGCCACATCATTTTAGTGTTAGGTATAGACTTCTGTTAGTTTGGTTTGATACAAGCATGCACGAATGTGACAATCAAACACAATGTCTGATTGGTTTAAAGGAGCCTATTAAATGTAAAGCCAGTAAAGAAAGTAAGCTAAAAAGATGTTTTTCTATGTATGCACAGACCCTATTGATTTAACTTAATTACGGATGAGCACTTCTTAATAACAGATGTAATCCAGGACAGGAAGTATTATTTAGCTTTCCCAGGATCATAGTGTATTTTTGTTTTGATTAATGTAAAATAAGGGCTCGTCCGGGATTTGAACCCGGGACCTCTCGCACCCAAAGCGAGAATCATACCCCTAGACCAACGAGCCACAACACTACTGTTTTGCAGTTTGCTAAAAGCACTTTTGAATCTGTGCACTGTAAATAGAAGGTTAAATTACATAATGTTTTTGGAAAGGTGTGAAAAATGCTATAACAGTGGTTAAATAAAATATTTTCTGAAGAATAATGATACATTTCAACACCATGAATTCCCGGGCAGCTTAAGGTTGTGTAAATACTTTGTAATCCGTCAGCAGGATTCACAGACCTCGTGGCGCAACGGTAGCGCGTCTGACTCCAGATCAGAAGGTTGCGTGTTCAAATCACGTCGGGGTCATACCTTTTTGTTTAATCCAATTCATATATGAATGCTTAATTTTACCACTCTTGTTGTTACGTACTACTTTACGTATGATTGAGAGTTAATGTTGAATAGACGCGAATACTATACACGTTAGCTTAGTATATATATATATATATTATCAGTACAATACTATATACGTTAGTATTGTACCGTGAAACAAACTATGCAGATTTAATTACTAACAACGTACATCTTTTTATTAATATTCAAGTAGTTTTTTTATTAAAATAAGCAGGGCTCGTCCGGGATTTGAACCCGGGACCTCTCGCACCCTAAGCGAGAATCATACCCCTAGACCAACGAGCCGAACGACGTAATCATTTTGTTGTCATGATATAAACAGTCTCCATGCAAAAAGTCCTCGTTTATTTTCAACTGTTTTCACACTATAATTTAAACTTTCTGGCAATTTGCAAAACCTTACACTCGAGGAGCAAAACACCCGACTAGATTTGCAAACTGCACACAAATCTTCATCTTTTTCAAAAACATGTTTGGTTTCTGTCCGAGTAAATTACACAAGGGATATCTATTTACTACTTTCTTGCGTGCTCTCCACAGTAATAATTATGAATCCAATAAATAAATAGGTTGACTTCAGTCTTGCTGTTGTGTTTAGAGTACCATACATTTTCTCTCTGTCTATTACTGCAAAGTAGCCTTAATGTGTAGGCTACATGTAACTAAGGAGCAAAATGAAAAAGCGCTTTATACTTTAAACTTAAAGTTATGGCAAAGTTGTTTGCAATTTGAGAAATGTGTGGTTTTACGTGTTTTTTAAAGTAATGCTTCATTTTGCAAGCGATGTTAAACATTTTGCACATGTCTTTGCATTACTTGGATGTGGGTAGTTATATATAAAAAAAGAGGCAAGGTTGTGAGAAAATGTGTTTAAGCAGTTCAAAAAACTGTAAAACAAAATATAAATTTATGCAACCCACCCACACCCCATTATAACAACATAATATTTTATATTGTAGGCCTACTATTTACCACATGATGAATTGTTGTGAGACATCAATTGAGTTGACATGGTTTCAGAAATCTGCCATCACTGTATATCATAAAGCCATACTTTGTGTACGAGCCATTACATTTACGCAGTTTTTTTTTGTGCCAGGCTCTTCAGTAAACCTTCTCAACAGAGTCCATTGGTATCTAAAGTGTATCCTGAGTTTTGTCATTCATCAGCCTGTTCATGACCAACAGTTAAACATTTCATGAACGAGCAGCGCTACAATGGAGGCTGTAGTGGTTTCAGTGTCTTTTTTACACAGATTAAAAATAATGATCTTAACAGATTCTAGAATCCTTTGCAGCCCCCTTAGCTGCATCTGGTGTCCCCCAGACATGATGATGACAGTTTAAGTAGTTTTAAAGTCATCAAATCTTTTAAAACTGACTTCAACTAGGATCTATCAGACCTTTTCATCAGTGAATTGTCGTTAGCTTTTCCACCAGGCCAGAGTTATAAGGCTGAGGCAAAAGAAGAAGAGAATTTAAGAGGCAAAGTAATGATCAAAATAAAGTTTATTGATCAATCTTATAATTGATTATAAAAGTTGAGTTATTGTGGCTGGTTAAAGAAACAACCATAACACCATTAGTCAACATCCACATATTTATAGCAGGTTAATAAAGTGCACTAACAGTAACTGGAGTACTTTTATATTATGCTTTTAAACAAGTTTTTTTCAAAGAGCTAGTGTAAAACATGGTACAGAAGAATAAAAAGCATAAATATATATTGTTTATATTCAACATTATAAGTGTACATTACCTTTTTCTTACTTTATCAAGAATACATTGTTATGATGGATTTGTAAGTGAATCAAATTCAAATAAACACTTTAAAATTAAGAATACATACACACAAAGAAACTTTTGCTTAATATCTTACAGGATATACATCATTAACACGGATTTGTATATAGCTTTCTTTTTGTATTTAGCTTTTCAAATTAACCATTTACAGTAAAGATATATAGATTTGCATTTTCAATTGCTCATAAAAAAATCTAACTACCAAACAAAGCAGTTTGTTAGTAAATGAATGAAGATATTCATCCCGCTCTACTATTTATAAATCTTCAGCTTGCAGTTCAGGGTCTTCACCATATTTCAAATCTCTTGTCTTTGATGAACTGCTTTCTATCATTGATTCTGTTTCCGAAAAGTCTGCAAGCACAAAATTGACCACGTTATGATATATGATATATATGGTTATATGATATTAACTCAATTGGTATGAAAAACAAAAATCAGGAAAAATCTATGCAAGTAAACCATTTTTGACCAAGTTTTGCACTAATCTTGTATTAATAAAACACCATCAAATAATGTCATTTTAATCACACATATATAAATAATCTCAAACAAAGACGTATATTTCAATTAATTAATAATAAAGTATAGTATTTCAGTTCTCTAAATAATGCATAACACATGGCCCAGTGTGGATGTAAATTTGGCATTTTGATTACCTATTATCAGTGCTTAATTTGAGCCAGATCTTGCCAGATCTTATTCTGGGAAATTTCAGATATTTGTATTTTGCGTTCCGTTATTTATTTATTTTAATTGATTAGGCATTAACTTGTGTGTAGTGAATACCTGCATGTGTGTGTGAGTGAGAGAAAATAGAGTGCAAGCGAAGCGAAGGCTGTGTGGATTGTATTTTCAACCAATCAGCTTTCTTATGTTTACAATCACTCTCATTGGTAGGTAATTGTTTTCTGCGCAATGAAAGGCATAGTGGTCTACCTAAATAATGTTTGTATTTTTAAAATGACAAAGAGGCAGTCAAGCATATTTTCTTTAAAAAAAAAAAAAAAAACAGGTAAAACTGATAATGAGCCTGATCAAGAGATCTCGAAAGGTTGGAACTGCACGCCTGGATCAGGATAGAGGGAGACAAAAGCAAAGCGAGCCAGATCAGCCAGAAAACATGACGGAAGAGCTAACTGTGGGCTCTTCCAAGTCATTTTACTTTCACTTGGAAGTGAACTGAATGTCAGTGGTGTTAGTAAACTGAACACTGATGTTTCATTAGATTTATGTTTGTAGCTACATGTTTGTTTTTATCCACGATTGACCCATAACGTTATATGGCACCAAATAATTAAAGACCGTTCAGAAATGTGATGCTCTTTTTTATGCTATCACCGTTTAATGACATCATGTTTCAGGAAAACTGAAATTGTGTAGTGGACATGGGTCAGGGTAACGTTTGTTTCATTGTTTTATTCTGGAAATTATTCATTTACAAATGAAGCACTGCTTATTATTATATTTAAACAGTTCAATCAAATAAAAAAAAGTATCATATGACTTTAAAAAAAGTGGTCAATTTGACCATGTTTCAGTCATAAATTACACAGGCCCACAGACGGTTAATAAACCTACACTAGCACTGTCACACACACTTACCGTACAGTCTGGATATTGCTGTGATTAGAGACGATGCTGTGGATTTTGTTTGCTGATTCATCTGTGATGTTATTGTGACTCAGACTGTAAGAAAAAAGGAAGTAAAGATTAGAAAAACACAAATAATCATGTCTCTAAATAGTGTTTCATGTTTCTCTATTCCTGGTGTCTCTGTAACTCACTCTAGAGTCTGGGTTTTGTGCAGATGAGGCAGCAGCGGCTCCATACACTGATCAGTGAGTTTACAGTGACTGAGGTCCAGTTCTGTCAACCCTTCAGAATATTCCAGAAACACCGCCAGCTGTTCACAAGATCTCTGGTCCATCTGAGTGTGACTGAGGTCCATCTCTTCTCCCAAAGCCTGTGAAAGAGCCTCAGCGCTCCTCAAACAGCGTCTCTCAGCTCTGTCTTTACTAATACAAGCCAGAAACTGCAGCAGCAGAGCTTTACTACAGCTGACCAGAGCAAGGAAAACACAATTAGATGCAAGAAAGCCAGAATAATGAACATATTTGATATAAAGAATTATTAATGCAAAATGAATAAATTAAATGTTAATTAATACCTCAGCTGGACTTTAGGCAAAATTGGCCAAAGTTGTTTCAGAGCCTCATCAGAGAGCTCACAGTCCTTTAAGATCAGCTTCACATTTAGAGTTTTCTGAAGTACAGATGAGATTATTGAACTGTCTTTGATGCTTAGATTAAAATGTTCTTGATTTTCCTCTGTGTCTGTTAAATCCAGAGCGGTGGAGCAGGAGAAGTCCAGTGTGTTTTTTAGAGCAGAGAGCAGAGCAGCTGCTGCCTCCTGCTGGACATCAGTGGAACTGCAGCAGTGAAGCAGCTTCAGCAACAGCAGCCTGTCAACACTAAAACATCCACAAATAATGTTAACAGACACTTTCTTGATTAAAACAGGAAAATGTCTATATATTTTAAGTTTATTATGATGCATTAAGTCTCTACTATTAAATCAGTAAACCTGAGTTGTGTGACTCTGTTGAACAAAGGCAGAATGCTCTTGAGCTCCTCTTCTGGTATGGATGTCCAGAGCAGATTGAGTTTGAGAGTGTTGCAGTGCTCCAGAGTGAAGCGCAGGGCAGCACAGTGAACAGAGTCCAACACTCTTCCATTCAGGTTGATGTAATTCCCTGCTGAACTCATTAGACTGGACACATACTCAGGAAAACGACTCTCATAAATTTCCATAATGATGGACAGAGTGAGACTCGGACTCAACCTGTGAAAAATAAAGCTATTTAATATAATTTACTTGAATAAAAAGCACTAAATGAATGCAAACCCTCAATGTAAGCTACATGCAACTGCATTGACTGAGCTGCTCTGCCATTACGTTTTTATTTGTGAGTGAATCTGGAAGGCAAAGTCAGCTGATTTAGCACATTGAACTGTTTTTTTTTTTTTTCAAAAATAGGAAAAAAAGAGGGTATTTGTAATGGATCAAGGATTATTACTGATTTTAAATTAACTTTAGTAAGTTAATATTATAATTAAAATGAAAATGTAACCTGAAAACAAAGGTTAAATGTCTTATAATATGATTTTAAAATTGAATAAAAAATTTTCACAACCAAAATGAATAAATAATATTATGGCTAAAAACAGCCTAAAGTTCTCTCAGTAAATTTATTGCCTTTAAAAGTTAAATTTAAGATGATTGGTTGTATGTTGCAAATGCCAGATTTCCAAGGTAATAACCAATCAATTTCATTACAGTTTTTTACAATAGCTATGACAGTTTTTTCAACACATTTAACAAGTTTTCTAAACTCTTTAACATGGTTAGCACAACACCTGTCTTTGTAGGCTATACAATTAACACATTTCTTGTTGCTTTGCTACAAAATGCATCCAGTTAACGCCAATTTAAAATGTTTGAACTTCTTTTACACACAAGCACAACCAAGAGCAAAACAATGTAATTTTACAGTGGAATTTACAAATGCTTTCACACAGTATGTCAGAACAGATAACACCATGTCCTAAAGACAACTTATACAGGCTAAAGTCAAAGTGAACAGCTGTTCATATTGTGAATTAAATCAAATTTATTCCCTGTATTTTATTTTATTCCATTGCCAATGAGAGAAAGCTTATTGCAGATAATATATATATATTCACAATATGAATATGAATTATGAATTATATGAATATCACAGCTGATTCCCATCTAGAAACTCATGTGCAATTTTTTCAATCACATGATTGTACACTCTAAAAGAGGACTCTGGCCTTTTGATACGGTCATTACTGTACTATAAACAGTTTTGCAGTAAACTAAACATGGAGTTCATTAGTACATACAGTAGATATACAGTACAGTACCGCCTTTACATACACTGTGTCTAATTCCTTTCAGAGAGTCATGGAGTTGGAGGCCAGTCAAGTCCACACATGAAATTATCTATGTTGATGAGGCTGGCTTCAACTTGGCAAAAAGGATTTTGGCGTGGGAAAAACATAATAGGCCAAAGGGCCACAGTTACTGTGCCGGGCCAGAGAAGAAACCAGGCAAATGCAGCAGAATAGAAGATTAATTAGTTTTTTTAAATTATAATTCCAGTGCTTTTTCTGTTTGTATATCTTGCAGTGATGTCCTTTTGCAAATATAGACTGTACTGCAGCAATTCTGTGTCTTTATTTTATTTTTTTAAATAAACTGTACATTTTGTAAAGCTACTCTGAGATGATCGTTTATTTTTTGTACTGAATTTATGCAGCATAAGAAACCAAATGCATGCATTTACTAAACCCAACAAAAAATGTAGTCTTCAAATATAAGGGCAGAGCTGACACATCAAATAATGCAGTTTCTGTAATTTTAGCTGATGATAGTGTTTTATTGTCAGTGTGTTCTGATTGACTAAATATTCCTGTTGGAAGAGAACATGTGTTAGTGTTTTGAATAATGATTTGATTTTGAAACATGTTTGCTGTGTTTTGTTAGACATGAGGTATTGTGTTCGTTTATTGTTTTATTTTGAACATTAGTTTAGAGGTTTAGTTTACAATGTGTGATTTTGAGCATGAAATTAACTGTTTTGCCAATTGTGTGTTTTAGTTGTGTTGCTGCGTTAAGAGTTTAGCAAACTTGTTAAATGTATTGAAAAAGCTGTCATAGCCATTGTAAAAAACTGTAATTGATTCAATAACAAAGTATGAGCCACATCCTGTTATTCTGTTGCACACCCAGACTCTTTTTTATCTTTTAAATGTCCTACTTTGAGGCAAATTACCCAGTTTAATTCATGTTGTGCAATTTCTCACTCAAAAAAACTTACTACTACTAGTAATAAAATAGATTCTTGTACCTTTTCCAGTGTATTCTGCTTAACCAAGGCAGAAACTCTTTGATGTTTTCACAGGATATTTTCCTCTTACTTAAGTCCAACTTGAAATTTTGCATGTGACACTGCACAAGGTAATGAATCACTTCCCAGTTCAGTGAGCAGAAAGTCAGATCTTTAGACACTCTCTTCAGAAAAAAGCTTGTCAGTAAATCATCTTGTGCTTTATACACCACTGAAATCAGCTGCTGAAGAGTCTCTTGGGAAAACCTGAATACAAAGACGGAAAATGACATCCGTTAAAATGTAATTACTTAGAAAACATGGGCGAAGCAACTGAGGTGAACTCAAACCTGAGAGTCAAATGTTCCTGGAGACACAAAAGTGCTGTGAATGTCAGAGCCTCTGATTTACACTGAGAAAGATCCAAACACTTGACAGACATCAATCTGAGGAGAGACGTTAAGCTGCTCAGGATGTGAAGGTGATTTTGCTCTGAGTCATTTGTGTCCAGTGAAAGCTTCTCTGTGGCCAATGGAAAACGGTAATTAATTGACCTCAGCACTCTGACCATCTTTAATAAAAATTTGTCCTCCACACTGTTGAAGACAAAGTCAAAGCTCATGAGAAGAAATCACACTAAAAATAGCAATATATAGTACCATTGCATAGTCCATCTTAAGTGGTCCGATAACATAACGTTGGGTTTCCTTTTTAAACCAATTAAAATAAAGGACACAGTTGTGCAATAACAATACTTAAGGGTAAACACCGAAAAAATGAAAAATGCTGATTAAATGTATTAATCTATAAAGTACAAATAAATTGTTTAAATTCAGATAATGTATCTCTAACCTCAGTTTCTGCAGCTGTTTGATGGGCCTGAGGAGCAGTTTGAGTCCTCTGATGGAGATGGCCTGTGGTTTTAGAGTCAGGTTTAGTTTTGAGGATGAAAGCCCCAAAACTTTCCCCACAGATCTGCATGTGCTGCTGGGTAATTTTCCACTTAGCGTGATAGTACAGTCTAAAGCCTGGAGCAGAGTCACCTTATCAGCCTTGATGCTGGAAACTTTACATAGTGATGGGAAATAGTGATCCGCATTTCTAAAAAATTTGTAAAAAAAAATTAATTATAAGAGGACACCAAGAACCATTTTAGTTTTATAGTGAAAGTAAATGGGAATGTGTACTACATGGCAATTGTGGCCAAGTGGTTGGAAAGTCAGATGTGATTTAAAGGTCACCAGTTTAAGTCTAGGCACAAACAGGGATGGTAGGTGGGTTTATGTGTGTGTTCACTATTGTGTGTGCTCTTGAATTGGTTTAATATTAGATGCTGTAAACAAATGGACTAAATAATTCGGATTATTTAACACAAGTTTTACACAAGTACACTGGTGGTGCAGTGGTATTTAATAGTACACCTTCATGTATTCTACTAGTACACAGATGTATATTAGATACTACGTGAATACATATAAACTTAAACATTACTTGAGCATACTTAATAAGGATATTACGAACTTAAAATATACATTTTTGTAAGGACTACCCAATTTTTTAAATCTCAAAATTCATTTAGTTCTGGTTAGCAGCTAATCCAACACGTTTATAAACATTTTGAGATTCTTCCTCCCTACGCCCTCAAGACTTCAAGATTGTGTCATAATAATATATGTGTATTCTCTAAAATATCTACAATTAAATGTAAAGACAGTATTTATCACAGACCTGAGCTGTGAGATGTAGGGCAGACACTTGAGGAATTCCCTCGCTTCGCTCTCATTATCTGTCCAGTCTATCAGCTCTACTGGTTTCTTCTCTGTTTGGAGTTTCAGCACTTCTAGGAGGATGGAGCTCTTTCTCTCGAAGAGATTTATCCTCCAGACTGCAGGAGATGCTGACTGATAAACTGGCTGTAATGCTGGAAGCACACTCCTGCCTGTTTGACTCTCATAGTCCTTCACATGTGAACACAGATCCAGCAGGAAATCACACTGATTTGCTTGAACAGAAAAATTTCTCTCATCAAATGGGAAAGTGCTGTAACTGCATACAGATGTAAGCAGATCTGTGTAATTTTTTCCAGCACCTATTTCATTAGACCCTGATGCTGCAACAATTAGATTTACAAGAAACTGGAAAGGTCTCTTCTTACTGAACACACAATGACAGAATCTGTTGAAACACAAATGTATACAATTAATGCATGTAAACATTTATCAAAATAGTAGATGATTCCTTATTGTCATTAAGCTTGATTAATACTTCTTTTGCCTGGTTCTGCAGTGTAAGCCTTCACTGACTGCACGCATATAGACATGAGTTGTGGAGGCTTTCGTACTTGAAGTGCTCACCCTTGTACTGTTATTTGTAACAGCAGGGTGTGACTCTAAGTAATTGTCAAGTCACTGAATGAAAGAAACTATGTATAAAATAAATACGTTGTGGATAAAGTTAGAGGACACTCATGAGAATGTTTGCTTTTTGTACACTTGTGTAAATGATTAATTTAGGCAATATTTCATATACTAAAAACAAAAAAAATAACTTACTTAAAAAGCCCTAACCACGCTGTTCAGAAAACACAGTGATGATGTAAAATTTGTTGCAAGAATGAGATGAGTATAAATCAGTCTTTAGACGAGACTTCTGGCAAGTTTAATGATGGATTTTTTCAATATTATCATTATAATTAAATTAGTTGAAAGTACTTTACTCGCATTCCAAAAGATCACCTTTTAATTTATTTTACAAAAAGTAACACATGAAGACTTGAACTTCCTAGGTTAGGCCCTTGCTCATTTACTCTTAACATGTATAAGTGCCTCTATCTGGATATAGTATATAATAAGTGCTATTATTATGAACATTGTTATTATTATTATTTTTAAAGATTTGCACCCTGTCTCCAAAATGCTGACAGGCATACCCTGCCCCTTTGAAATTTATGACAAAAAACTACAATGTAAGAGTCTTATTTACCTAATCTAACTAACTTACTAAGAATACTGCCTGAAGATACCAGAGTCTTCTGGTCTTTGAATCTGAGCCTCACCTCAACTCAGAGATGTAGGGCAGACATTGGATGAATCCCCTCACTTCACTCTCTTCATCTGTCCAGTCTATCAGCTCTACTGGTTTCTTCTCTGTTTGGAGTTTCAGCACTTCTAGGAGAATGGAGATCTTTCTTTGTGACAGATCAATGCTCCAGACTGCAGGAGCTGACTGATAAAATGGCTTTAATGCTGGAAGAACACATTTGCCTTTTTGTTTCTCATAGTCCTTCACATGTGAACACAGATCCAGCAGGAAATCTGATTTCTCATAATCCACAGATGATAGCAATATCTTGACAGCTGTGTCTATTGTCTTTTTTTGGTAAAGAGCAGCATTAAGACACAAATCCAGCATAAATCTCTTTCTACTGCCCCACAGTTCAGCTGATTCATTCTGTGTGGAATAAAATCTACATAGGAGAGGAAAAATATGTTAAAGGTTATAAAACGATAAAAATTACTGGAAAATAGTTTAACAACTACAAAATGCTGTAAAAGTTTGTCAAATCAAAGTCTAAGACAGAAAAAGTCAAAAGATCTCATACAATTTGAAGTTGTATAAACTATATCACATTATTTTCATTAGTGTAAGCACTATATTTATATTCAACAACCAGAGTGATTTCATTATGACTGAAACAGTGTCTGTAAATGTAGCCAGTTGTACCTAAGATGTCCAATTCATGAACAAGTGACTCAAGAGCTCACTTTGTTCACTGAATGAGGTTGAAACTGAAAGCGACTGAATTAGATTGTTCACTGAATGAAACATAGTTATCAGCCTGAATTGGTGTAACAGCTAAATCACTCATTAAGTCATTTTAATTGATGACAAATTTAAAATGAACCAATAGCCAAAATTGAAATTTGTAATTAATGTTTAAGATTCCATTAGTGTCCATTTAATTACTTATCGGTTGTTTATATATATGAAGTTCAGATGCACAAAAAGGTTGTTGAAACCTGGAAATACACAATATTATAATTTTTGCATTTATGGACTCTATTACTACCAGTCATATCTAAAGGCATAAATGAAAAGTGTACAATCCTTTAAAATAAGTACAAATATTCAGATGTTTCATGAAAGTCTAACCTTAGCTGTGAGATGTAAGGTAGACACAGCAGGAATCTGTTAATTTCAAGATGGTCATCTGTCCAGCCTCTCAGCTCTACTGGTTTCTTCTCTGTTTGAAGTTTCACCACTTCTAGGAAGAATGTGCTCTTTCTTTGTGACAGATCAATGCTCCAGACTGCAGGAGCTGACTGATAAAATAGCTTTAATGCTGGAAGAACACATTTGCCTGTTTGTTTCTCATAGTCCTTCACATGTGAATACAGATCCAGCAGGAAATCTGATTTCTCATAATTCAGAGATGATAGCAATATCTTGACAGTTTCATCTTCTGTGTTTTTCTGGCAGAGAGCAGCTTGAAAACACACATCCAGTATGAATCTCTTTCTCTTGTTCCGCAGTTCAACTGATTCATTCTGTGATGAAACAAATCTAGAAAAAAATTAAAAAGATTCTGTTATAGATGACAGTGAGTTTTAAAATAGATAGGTATGTGACAGAATAGTATTACATCATATAGGTGAATGCACCTTTAATTTTAATAGAAGGTATTATAAAAATACATTTTAAAAATGTTATTTAATTTATGAAGTATTTAAGACAAAAAAACACAATGGATGATGGCAGATTAGTGTCATGTAGTGTTATTAATAAAGAAATCTAGAATACCATGACATACCAACTAGATACCTGTAGAGCATTATATATACTGTATACATATATACAGGTTGTGTATTTCTTAATTGCTAAAAGCAATTTTCCAGACACATTTAATTTCTGATAGTGGTTTAACTATGCATCGACATTTATTGATACTTTAATCCAGTGACGAAGAATACAGTGTCATTAAGAAGCACATTCAATTTATATACCTATATAAATACTTTTTAATAGGCACCTATATTTTTACACTCCACATCTTAACATATTTTCACTAAATCACAAATTCTCTTGTTTAGGCCAGGCATACACCTTTTAATTTTTGTTACCATACAAGCTTACTGGAATTTTTTTTTCTGTTGAAACAAATCATGTGGATTTGTAGTTATGTTATGGCTAGTGGCTAAAATCATGTGAGATATGTGGCAAGTATCTCCCGAAAGTTTTAAGCATGCTAAAAAAGCATGAAAGCTCTAGGTTTTAATTGGTGGATGTGTGTGGTTGAATGAGTTGATTAATCTATCTGAAGATCAGGAGGTCGGGAAGACCACAGAGAATAGCAGCATCATATCAAATTTGCCAAACGAAAATGTTAAATTACATTTAAATGAAATTAAAGTGAATGCGTGTATGTGAAAAAGTTCAAGCTGTTAAATTTAATGTTTGGAACATGGTTTGGAATCGGTTTTTAGAAGTAGGTTAGTTGCAGCAGGAGACAACAGCAGTATCAGCTGTGTAAAGTGCAAGATGATTGAAAAAATATACAAACACAAGAGCCACAAAACGGCTACTTCCTTGTTGTTGCTAGGGTGATGTTTTTAAGCACTTTCAGGTTTAAATAAAGGCTTTTTTTTATTTGCATTACACTGCCAATCTGCCTATATGTCTTTTTAATGTTCCCGGGTGCGGTGAGGGGCATGCTTTAAAAATAGAAATAGTGGTGCAGGGCGGTCTGGGGGTGGGTCAAATAATTGAATAAATAATAATACAAGCAAATATATATATATATATATATATATATATATATATATATATATATATATATATATATATATATATATATATATATATATATATATATATATGTGTGTGTGTGTGTGTATATATATACACACACACACACACACACACACACTTTTTATTTATTTATTTTTTTGGTACTGGTATACTAGAAATTTTTGTTTTGTATTCAACAATTCAAAAAACATGTATTGAATTCTGACCTCAGTTCAGAGATGTAGGGCAGACACCGCAGGAATATATTCACTTCTATATTGTCATTTGTCAAGTCAATCAGCTCAACAGTTTTTTTCTCTGTTTGGAGTTTCAGCACTTCCAGGAGAATGGAGCTCTTTTTTTGTGACAGGTCAATCCTCCAGACTTCAGGAGCTGCTGACTGATAAACTGACTGTAATGCTGGAAGGACAATCTTGTCTGTTTGACTCTCATAGTCTTTCACATGTGAATACAGATCCAGCAGGAATGCAGATTTCTCATAATTCACAGATGATAGCAATATCTTAAATGTTAATTCTACTGTCTCTTTCTGACAGAAAGCAGCTTGAAGACACACATCCAATATGAATCTTTTTCTTCTGTTCCATGGCTGAGATGATTCTTTAGGTGCTGCATGAAATCTAAATTTCAAATGTAAAAAATTAATCTGTTAGAGGTGAAAATAAATAGAAAATGATGATGTAAAGATTTTTACATGACAATCTGCAAAACAGTCACATAGAATCAAGTGCAAAAAACATAGGACACGAGTACATATTCTAAAAGATATGTGGTGAGATTAATGATGATGATGTTTGAAACCTGATCACCACATCAGTTTTCAAATTAGCTTGAAGAATTTTAATAGAATTAGTATTTTAAATTACTCTGCTCTGCCATTATAGCACCAGCTATTTCATTATTTTAAGTCAGGGACTAAGCCAAAGGACAGTGAATAAGTGAGAACATCGTTGTACAATTGAGCAGTTATGTTTTGTGAAGGTATATGTATAAAATATTCTATCACCATAGAGACAGTATACAAAAATGCTGTATTTGTTACATAAATTGGACTGTTGTTTCATCCTTTATGACTATTTTAGACATGCTTGAAAATTAGATTGTATATATTTAATAAATAATAAATTATACCCACACAAACACATTGAACTTGATGTTTTGTTTCACTTTATTTGTGTTTGCAAGTGACTATCGTCATTGATGAATCAGTTTGAATAAGTTTGAATTACTTGTAAAGTTATTAATGAGCTGTTGTATCATTTAATAAGCTGATATATTTAAAAATACGAAAATATGCAGCAAAAAAAAACACAAAAGACTGCTGTGTTAGTTGGTGTTGTAATGCTAGTCCTGTGACTTGGTTTTAAACTACTTTTGTTAGTGGAGCAAAAAAATATATAGTAACTGGCAATATTGTGTGAAAATGTTAATTTTTCAATGTGATCTTGCTTGTATTGTGTTTTATAAAAGCAAAAACTCACAACAGGACGCTGAATTCTAGATAGCTTCTAAAATTTTTCAAGCTGTCATTCTAGCTTTATGTGGCATTTCTACAGTTTTTTTTACAATGGCTATGAAACTTTTTTCAATACATTTAACAAGTTTCCTAAACTCAACACAATTAGCACAACATCCGTCTTAGTGGGCTATACAATTAACAAATGCCTTGTTGCTTTGACACAAAATGCATCCAATTAACACAAATTTAAAATGCTTACATTTCTTTTACACACAAGCACAACCAAGAGCAAAACAATGTAATTTTACAGTGGAATTTACAAATGCTTTCACACAGTATGTCACAACAGATAACATCATGTTCTAAACAGAAATTATATAGGATAAAGTCAAAGTGAACAGCTATTCTAATTGTGAATTGAAACACAAATATATTTCCTGCATTTTATTCCATAGCCAATTAGAAACAGCTTATTGCAAATATATATATATATATATATATATATATATATATATATATATATATATATATATATATATATATATATATATATATATATATATATATAAATTTGCATACACTGTGTCTAATTACTTTCAGAGAGTGATGAAGTTGGATGCCAGTCAAGTACCACATAAAATTGTCTATGATGACAAGGCTGGGGATGTCGCCGTGGGAGACATATAATAGGCCAAAGGGCCAGTTACCATGCCAGGCCATAGAAGATATCAAGTGTAATGTGGATGAGAACATGTGCCAAAAGACCGGGCAGAATAAAAGATTACTTTGTTTTGTTTTTTTTTCATTAAAATTGTGGTGCTTTTCTATTTTCAGTGATGTCCTATTGTAAATAAAGTCTGTACTGCAGCAATTCTGTGTCTGTATTTTTTTTTACATAAACTGTAAATTTTATGAAGCTATTTTTTTTCTTCGTTTTTGTGAAGAATTTTTGCAGCAAAAGAAAGAAAATGCCTGCATTTACTAAACCCAACAAAACAAAACTGTAGAGAGACTTCAAATATAAAGGCAGAGCTGACACATAAACTAATGCAGTTTCTGTCATTTTAGCTGATGATAGTGTTTTTATTGACAGTGTGTTATGATTGACTGAATGTTTCTGTTGGAAGAGAACATGTGTTACTGTTTTGAATAATGATTTGTTTTGACATGAGGTATTGTTTGTTTATTGTTTTATTTTTAACATTAGTTTTAGGGTTTCGTTTACAATGTGTGATTTTGAGCATGAAATTAACTGTTTTGCCAATTGTGTTTTAGGTGTGTTGGTGCGTCAAGAGGTTAGCAAACTTGCTAAATGTATTGAAAAAAGTGTCATAGCCTTTGTTAAAACTTTAAAGTAGTAGCAGCGACTCTGAATCTGTGTTATATGAAAGAAGCTCCATAAAGAGGACGTTTTAACATTTTGCATAATTGTTTCTTATTCACATTCACATTTGTTAATCAACAGTTCAACAAATAATATGTATTTAACACAGACCTGAGATGTGAGATGTAGGGCAGACACTGGATGAATCCCCTAACTTCACTCTCTTCATCTGTCCAGTCTATCAGCTCTACTGGTTTCTTCTCTGTTTGGAGTTTCAGCACTTCTAGGAGGAGAGAGCTCTTTCTCTTTGAAAGATTTATCCTCCAGACTGCAGGAGCTGACTGATAAACTGGCCGTAATGCTTGAAGGACAATCTTGCCTGTTTGACTCTCATTGTCTTTTACATGTGAGTACAGATCCAGAAGGAAATCACACTGATTTGCTTGAACAGAAAAATACTTCTCATCAAATGGGAAAGTGCTGTAGCTGCATACAGATGTGAGCAGATCCGTGTAATTTTCTTTAATTGTATTATACTTTGATGCTGTGACTATGAGATTTACTAGAAATTGAACAGTTCTCTCCTTACAAAGGGGAAAGGAATAAAATCTGTGAAAACACAATTAATGCATATAAGAGGGAATTAAACAAGGTAGCTTATTCCTTATGAAATAAATATATTAATAATATATAATGCTGAATTATCATTTAATTGATTACACAATTAATTAACTAATTAAATTTCAGTGTTTCTTAAACACTTAATAATGTGGACACATTTATTTCTTATAATACATTTTTAGGGGTTTTCACCTTTATTGTGATAGGACAGTGGAGATTTAGAGACATGAAAGTATGGGGAGCAGAGATAGGGGATGGGTCGACAAAAAACCTCGAGCCAGGAATCAAACTCAGGTCGCCGTGAACACCTATGTGCCATGTGTCGACACACTAACCACAAGGCTATAGGCAATGACGGAAGTGTTAATTTCAAACTAAGGATTTTGCTGTGGGGTTTAAAGGATTTAAAGTGTGATGTAAAAATATATATACTGTTCAATTAAACTATAAAGGTAGACAATAAAACATGTAGACTAATGGCAACCTGGCTGCAAGAAGTATATATATATATATATATATATATATATATATATATATATATATATATATATATATGTATATATTTATTGCTGTAACACGTGAGTCAAATTTCTGTTGTTGGTTTTGTGTCACCATTGTGCTGGAAAGCCAGTATCATCATTCTGTCATCATGATAAATATGCTAACATTAAGCATGTATAATCCATTACAAAAATTACTTCAGAAACTTAAACAGCTGTTTGATTTGGCTATTTTGAGGCAGTTGATTTCAGTTTATTTCGGTTTTGATTTAGTGCATGTATTTTTACATCAACATTGAATAAAAATGGCAGTTACTGCAAAGTGCTATAAAATATCTGCAGCTCCCAGCATTTTACTATTAATATACATGGTATTTTACAGTAAATAAAAGTAGTAATTACAGTATTACCTGCAGAAAAACATAAAATATGATAATACTAATAATTACAGCACTAGACTGTAAATATTATTTACAGTGATGGAGCTGTAGAAAGACAGTATGTGGTTAACAACCCAGCTGCCAGTAGTTTATTGTAAATTTGAAACAAAATGTTTTACAGTGTAACAGCACCCAGGATTAGTTGGAAAAAAATACATTACTCTGAATTAGATCAAAATTATGTCAACAAAAACTAAATAGTAAAGAAATTATAATATTTGGTATAGATTGTTTTATTTAAGCCCATGTTGCTTAATTTTTAACTTCAGTCTCTTACCTGAGCTGTGAGATGTAGGGCAGACACTGGATGAATTCCCTCACTTCACTCTCTTCATCTGTCCAGCCTCTCAGCTCTACTGGTTTCTTCTCTGTTTGGAGTTTCAGCACTTCTAGGAAGAATGTGCTCTTTCTTTGTGACAGATCAATGCTCCAGACTGCAGGAGCTGACTGATAAAATAGCTTTAATGCTGGAAGAACACATTTGCCTGTTTGTTTCTCATAGTCCTTCACATGTGAATACAGATCCAGCAGGAAATCTGATTTCTCATAATCCACAGATGATAGCAATATCTTGACAGTTTCATCTTCTGTCTTTTTCTGGCAGAGAGCAGCTTGAAGACACACATCCAGTATAAATTTCTTACTGTATAGGTCGGATGATTCATTATGTGATGCTGCAAATCTAAAACAAAGTGAAAGATTGTTAGAGATAACGAGATAAAATAATCTAATATGCTGATACGATGAAACAGTTTAACAAATAACCTAACAGTGTGTCTAATTAGTTGGAGACAGAAAAAGTTGTGCTGAAATATCATGATCAAGTTTATGTCAACGAAAAATTTATTGTCAAGATCTTATAATGTTGCGTATATATGATTTCAATTTAAATACATGTTACTTAAATTTTAACACAAGTCTCTCACCTCAACTCAGAGATGTAGGGCAGACACTGGAGGAATCCCCTCACTTCACTCTCTTCATCTGTCCAGTCTATCAGCTCTACTGGTTTCTTCTCTGTTTGGATTTTCAGCACTTCTTGGAGGATGGAGATCTTTCTCTCTGAGAGCTTTATCCTCCAGACTGAAGTGATGGGGATAACAGAACATTAGAATCAGCAATCAAAAAGACTGTTTATTTGTTTTCATTGTGTCAGATGTATCTCACCATCCACTGGTACTTCTGTTTCTGAAGTAGTTTTGCTGATGGCATCCTCATAGACAGCAGAGACTCTGACTCTATAGCAGGTGCTGTGAGGTACAGTTAAAGTGCATTCACACTCAGGTCCTTGTGTTTGTACTGCTGACCAACCCTCCAATCCTGCCTCTTTATACTCAACCATATAATGCAGCACTGGACAATCTTCATCAGCTTCAGCCTTCTGCCAGGTGACTCTGAGTGTGTCTGTGTTCGGCTTGTTCACCAGGGGGTCCCCAGGTGTTGCTGCAACTGCTGTCTGAAAATGTATAATCTTACTGAAGCTGCTCATTCTATCATTCTCAATAACTGAATATCTCAGTTGATAATGATAGCCAGATTTTAAGTTTGAAATGATACAGGTTCTCTTGAGTGTTGGGTCTTCAACAATGTCGTGATTCCAAGATGTGTAGTTCTTTCCATCATTTTCCAAAGCCCTGTACTGCACCACATATCTCACATTGCTTTTGGCTTGTTGTAAAATCAGTTTCAAAGATACACTGGTGTGTTTTATCTGAACAATTTGTGCAATGTCTGGATTTGTTCCGAGCATCACATTTCTGCTCACAATCCTTTGTGCGTGATAAAACTGAACAGAGTATTTTGGAAAATCCTTATCAGGTACAGCTGCAGCAATGAACTTGGTTTGCTCTTCATCTTCATTTGTCTCTTTTGAGGCAATAAACAGATGCACATCTGTGAGATTTGTTAGCAGTGAATCATGTGATGTCATGTGATCACAATTAATATGCTTTCTCAGAACAGAAAGATATACATCCTCAGCATCCGGTGAAAAAAGATTGAGACACAACACTTCTTTTTTCTGAGGGTGACTAATGATGTGCTGTAACTCTGCTTGTGATTTGACAACAGTGATGTCTGCAGCTTTGCAGTCATTAAGAATCTTCAGTTCAGTTTCTTTATTCTCCAGCCACCGGTTTGTTTTCTCTGCATGGAATGGTGATTTGTAATGGCTTTCAAGGAAATGTTGCCAACTCATCTCTGGTTCCTGTTTTATCATGTGCATAGATTCGGCAATTCTTCTGTGAAAATTATTCTTGTATTCCTGCAAAAAGTCTAAAAACTGCACAAGTTTTTCTTTTATTGCTGGAAACCACATAATCACCATAAAGTTGTTGCAGTCTGTTATCATGTCCTGACAGATCTTAATTTGTTTTCTCAAATCTCCTAGAATTTTCTCAGCTTCATGCAAATTTTCACTGACTCCACTCACAGCAGCACTTACAGAGCTTTTGTCCTCCTTATCCAGAGGATAAAGCCAGACTTTCAGAGGGACAGCTTTCTCGCCTTTAGGTCCAAGCAATGATGGCAGAGAATCATAGATCTCCAGTGCCTTTTCAATAGACACTGGATTCGTCCAGTCACCCATATCAATGTAGAGATTGCAGTCATGTGAAATGGTGGTAGCCTTTTCAGTTTCACTAAGACTTAAAAACACATCTCTTGCACTGATGCTGGTGGTGATCTTCTTGATAATATTTTTCATTTCTGTACTTCTCTTTTCGCTTATTCCCTGATTAGAATCATCAAAAACAAAAACAGCCTGTGCTCCATAGCACACACCAATAATCACATGTGTAGCTGTTGTTTCATTAATGACTGATGGGAGAGTTACTTCTTCTAAAAGTCTTTGGCTAATCATGTCTAGTCTGGTTGTGGTGCGATAGTGTAGTGTAACTCTGTCCTGGTTTTGCGACTGTTCAGGGTGGTTTAAAAAGGCTGCCGCTCCAGACAGTTTTGCCAGTACAGATTTACTTTTCTGCAGCATTGATGAAGAGATATCCAATGCTCTGCACCTATCTTGAAAGGAGTCACACTCTAAAATCTTCACACATGTTTGTGGACGAGGTAGAGACACCTTCATAGATGCAACAGAGTCTTCCTCTAACATAATATCTGCAAATAAATTCACAATTTAATTTGTATAATTTTGCACAAGACTTGACTTTATCTAACAATCATGATTTTCAGTGATCTTTACATTTGTTACACCTATTAAAAATAAAACAGAAATAGGATTGTTTACCTAAAAATGTAAATTCTTTACTCAATCTCATATGATTGAACTTTTACACACGCTTTAGGATGCTTGAATTATACCAAAAGTAACTTTTTAGCTTTAACATAACTGATTTAACTACTTACATATGCTTTGCTAAGCTTTGCTTAATACTATCAGTATGATATGACTCTTAAAAGCAAAACACTCAACTAAATATAGCTCGTTCCCAGATATAATTCACACAATGCAAAACACTGGGCCATAAAAAATATTGCAAGCTAGTGGAGTTGACAGATTTAAGTGATTCAAAGTATAAAGAAAACTTCATAATAAAATTCAAAGAGTTAATTATTTATTTTAGCAGTAGTTTAGCTTCCAATATTTTCCAAATTTCATTATACCAATTTTATTAAAGTAATGCACCAAACTGGACTACTAATATAATAAGCGATGATATATTGTGTTTTTTTTTTTTAATAAAAGCTTTTACTGTTTTTCTTAATGTATTAAGAGGAATGTATTAGCTAGCATGTATCTCATATTGATTTTAATAACCTTAACATAAATAAAAGTGCACCAGCACTAAAAAAATACAAAAACCAGAAAGGGACCTTGAATCAGAGGCACCTCAACTTGATCAGGACATCCCTAATAAATTTTCTATTTATTGAAATACTTTTATTATACTTTTCTGCGAAAAAAGGGATATAAAATATATCATTTTAATTCTTATTACCAAAATTATAAGCACTTTGTTTAGACATCACACACACAATTGATTACATTTTATTTTAAAGGCTGAAAAAACAATCTAGTAACTTTTTGTTTTAATACTTCTGTTGCTGCTGCTCCATAGACTCACCTTGTAAGAATGAATTACTGTGACTGTCATACAACATTCCAAGACTCAAAGAGTGATGCAGAGCAGCCATCTCAATCACATCTGAGAAATCTGAAATGTATTATTATTAATTAATTAATCAAAACATTTTAAACAGTTGGCAGTCTGCAAGAGTACCATGATATTTACTCACCAATACAATGGATTTCAAATCCTCCACACAAACGTTTTGCCTGCATATCTCTTTCTTTCAAGGCCTGAAAAAAAATTTTAAGCCAAATTTTAGTATTTAGTATTTTAGTATTTGAAAATATTGTTCAAAGGTCTAAACTAAGTTTTATCATAAATAGTTTTGCCCCACCAAAATCTATCTATTAATAATTACCGCCTTAAGGTCATCTTCTTGTGATTTGCCGTCTTTTTGTGGTAAACGTATGGCCTAAATAAAAAGCCAAACACATAATTATACATAACTAGACGGACGGACGGACGGACGGACGGACAGACAGACAGACAGACAGACAGACAGACAGACAGACAGATAGATAGATAGATAGATAGATAGATAGGCAATCACCTCTACCAGTTTGTGTCTCTGCAGTGCTGGTACTGTATAGTGTTGTCTGACGTGGGTCTCGCAGTAAGATGCAGTGCAGGTCAAACAGGATTTAACAGCTTTGAGCTTCCTTTCAGTACAGATATCACAGGCCACATCTTCAAATCCAGCAAAGCACTTAGCAGGAAGAACAGGACTAAACCCTGCCCTCTTCAGTTCCTCAATCAGATTAGCCAAAGCTACATTTACATTTAACATAGGACGACCTCTGAACCTCTTACTGCACTGAGGACAACTGTAACTTTTTGGTTTGTTATTGCAGCTCCAAAAACAGTGTTTGCAGCAACTGTGTCCACAAGGGAGGGAAACTGGATCTTTAAAAACTTGTGAGCAAACTAAGCATCTGTAGTGATCCTCTGTCAGCAGAGTGGCTGAAATTGTACTGTAAAACATGAGGTTATTACAATTTTGACTGCAATGATTGTTTCAACTGCCACACAATAACTATATTCATGGTAAAATTAACAAATAAATAGTAACTGTTAAATAGTTAAGGGGACAGCAACTGCACATAAACACAACAACATTGCTAACCACTTATTTTTAACAAAATGGATTTTCCCCTCTATATTCCACTTTTTTTTACATAAGAAAAATTCCAAATTTGAATATTGAGTTAAGATCTTATTATATAAAAAATACAGACTTTGATCAAATCCAACATTATATAACATAAAAATATAAATGATTAATGAATACACAGCAAGCATACCACATGCATAAAGTTTTTTGTTTCATACCTGCAACTTTGTGACTGCTCAATTTTAAGAGATTCAGTTTTTGATGGTTCTGGAGATGCTGCTTTACATGGTTTTAGACTTTAAGAATGGGAAAAGTCAACAGAAGATTAACGTACAAGAGACTTGATATTCAAAACAACCACAATTGTTGCTATTTATAGATTTAACACAATTTGCAACTATTTGATAAATTCTCATGCTTTTAATTTTAACATGATAGGCTGATTCACAGACTGAGCCAACTTTGCAAACTGTGATAATGATGGTGATGGAACTTCATCTGATTTCAGCCTGTAAGTGTGTACAGTAGTCAACATTTGAAGTGAATCAAAATGCTTTTTAAATTTGTCCTAATTGAGGAGTGGGTTTTGTTCAATGGTTTTAGGTCAATTTTGATGAAAGGTTTTGATCCACTTCAGTTGTTTATTACTGAATGTCAGGTTATAAACAAGTATAAAAAAGAAACATGAGAAACACACAAGATGACCCCAGCCTTCCTTAAAAATCTTTTGTCTACTTTCAGTGTGGTTGATAAGAAGATCATTAATATACACAAATATGCACATACATTTCAAACCAAAAAAAGTTTTCATACCGATCAACATTGTTATGCTGAGTTTTGTCATTGAACACAATTGGCCGATCCATTGAACTGATGCTATTTAAAGAGAATAATGAGGTTACAGGAGAAGGTGCCTCATCTGGTCTTTCACTGTAGACATGAGAGAGAAATTTCAGATTTTGACCTGTATAGTGTACAGCCTCACTAGACCTCACACTTTGGTACATAAAGGGTAAAGTGGAATTGTTCTGTTTAATAATCCATTTAAACAGGCTGGACTATTAGATGTAAAGATTTGCATAGAGATCTCATTTAATCTCATACCTTTTGAGCCTTTCACTTTGCTTCTTTCCAAACACAATTGGTCGGTCCATTGACAGCTCACTTTTCAGAGATGTTAATGTAGGTGCTGGTGATGCTGCTTTACATTGTTGTTGACTTTAAGAATGAGAAAGAAAACAAGAGTTTAGTATTGCACATGACATATGCTATGCAAAACTGTAACATTGTTTAAAGAATCATAAATTAGGCGGATGAGTTGTAACATTAAACTTTTGTACTTTTCATTTTTAAACACAGCTGGCCGATCCATTGACTGATGACTCTGCAGAGACAGGGTTGAGGGAGCTGGAGATGTTGTCTCAAATTGTCTTTTTCTTTAATACAAAAAGAAAGAAATTATTGGTTTCCTATACCAAATGATGTTCTTTCCAATATATTGTTTATCCGAGAAGCAATAAAATATGCTTGAGGTGCTGCTTCATTTGATTTTAAACTTTAGGAACAGGAAAAACACCCACATATTTAACATTGTAAAAAAGATTGTGCTATATAAAACAATCATAGATTTAAACATATTTTATTTATAAATGTCAAGCATACATTTTTTAACTCCCTTAAAGACTAAATTCACATACCTCTCATACTCCATGTACTTTTGAGACAGTCCCTCATTCAATTGGCGCACTGATTCTAGTAACCTGGAAACAAGACTTAGGCTTACAACATGAAGTGATATAAATACACAATGTTGGACAATGAAACTGAAACACTATCTATTTTAATGTTGGAGGTTTCATGAATAAATTTGAGCAGCGTGGTGGCCAATCTTTATTGATTGCTCATTCTACCAGTAAGAGCAGAGTGTAGAGGTTTAATTAGCAGAGTAATAGCAGAGTTTTTGGTGATGGAACTTCATCTGATTTCAGCCTGTAAGTGTGTACAGGAGTCAACATTTGAAGTGTATCAAAATGTTTTTTAAATTTGTCCTAATTGAGGAGTGGGTTTTGTTCAATGGTTTTAGGTCAATTTTGATGAAAGGTTTTGATCCACTTCAGTTGTTTATTACTGAATGTCAGGTTATAAACAAGTATAAAAAAAGAAACATGAGAAACACACAAGATGACCCCAGCCTTCCTTAAAAATCTTTTGTCTACTTTCAGTGTGGTTGATAAGAAGATCATTAATATACACAAATATGCACATACATTTCAAACCAAAAAAAGTTTTCATACCGATCAACATTGTTATGCTGAGTTTTGTCATTGAACACAATTGGCCGATCCATTGAACTGATGCTATTTAAAGAGAATAATGAGGTTACAGGAGAAGGTGCCTCATCTGGTCTTTCACTGTAGACATGAGAGAGAAATTTCAGATTTTGCCAGTATAATGTACAGCCTCACTAGACCTCACACTTTGGTACATAAAGGGTAAAGTGAAATTGTTCAGTTTAATAATCCAATTAAACAGGCTGGACTATTAGATGTAAAGATTTGCATAGAGATCTCATTTAATCTCATACCTTTTGAGCCTGGCACTTTGCTTCTTTCCAAACACAATTGGTCGGTCCATTGACAGCTCACTTTTCAGAGATGTTAATGTAGGTGCTGGTGATGCTGCTTTACATTGTTGTTGACTTTAAGAATGAGAAAGAAAACAAGAGTTTAGTATTGTACATGATATATGCTATGCAAAACTGTAACATTTTTTAAAGAATCATAAATTAGGCGGATGAGTTGTAACATTAAACTTTTGTACTTTTCATTTTTAAACACAGCTGGCCGATCCATTGACTGATGACTCTGCAGAGACAGGGTTGAGGGAGCTGGAGATGTTGTCTCAAATTGTCTTTTTCTTTAATACAAAAATAAATAAATTATTGGTTTCCTATATCTTAAAATGGAATTTAACAAACTAAATATAAAATGAAAAGGATTCACCATCTCATAAAATTTCATACCTTGTATAACTCAACTCTGTTCTTTCCCACTGAGTCAGGCAATCTGACTGATCGCTTTCCCAAGATGTTAATGAAGCTGCTGATGATGCTGCTTCATGTGAAATTAAACTTTAAGAATGGGAAAGATAGCAAGTTTTTATCATTGTGCAAAGATTATGTTATATAAAACAATCATAGCAGTTATTACGGTCCAGAATTTATTATTATTATTCGTTTTTTTATTATTGTGTTTTGTTGTCATTTGGGAATGTTGTTTCTTGAATATTAATTGGCATTTAGTTTTCTTTGAGGTTTACTCTGCCTTGCACTTGCGACTAATTCTGCGCTGTCGGCTTCATAAGCAGAAGCTAAATGTGCATCTGTGTGGCTCTTTGTTTCCAGCGTATGTCTGGCTGACTGTCCTGTTTTTGCGTTGTTGTGAGCATGACCCGTACTTCCTGAGAATCTCTATGTATCTTGCTGTCCTGATGAAGGTTTGAGAAATCTGTGTGCGTCTTGTGCAGCTGCTGCTGAGGAGCCATGCGGGTGTTGTTGCTGTTTGTTTATTCTTTGTTAATCTATGTTTAATGTTTGTTTGTTTATTTAATTTATTATTTTGATTGAGTTAACATTGCTAAATTAAATGCATATGTTTTAGTTGCCATTATATTTTGGGAAAAGATGCGTATGTTTGTCTTTAAACAGAGAATTGTACTTGAGTTGCGTGTCCTTTTTATGTTGCTGACACCTCCCCATATGAGCATTATAAATTAGGGTTCATAACACAGTAAAACCATTTTATTTATAAAACATCAAACATATATTTTTAACTCTCTTAAAGACTATATTCACATACTCCTCCATGCAGCTGTGTTTTATTTTTAAATACAATATTCGCCCTCCTGATCTTTTTTTCAATTATTTCCTAAATTTTGTTTAAAAGAGCAAAGACTTTTTCACAGTATTTCCGATAATATTTTTTTTCTTTTGTAGAAAGCTCTATTTGTTTTATTTAAACTAATTAAAACAGAAATTAAAGAAAAAAATATATACTGGGGGCTAATAATTCATATCTTAATGTAATATGCATATGAAAACTCTAAAACAGATAACTTTTTATTGTCATAAATGTATTTTTTATGCTGCATACTTACAAAATACTGCATATTTACAAAATGCTAAAGACATACTTATGCTTCATACTCACAAACATACATAATTTATGTAATGACTAAAACTGAGTTATCTGTTTTTACAAATTAAGTCATCATATATATTCTAACAATAAAAAACAAATTCCCATACTTCATGTAGTTATGGTCGGTTTCATTTGTGAACACAATCGGCCGATCTATTGACTGATCACTTTTTGCAGACATGTATGAGGGTGCTGGAGAAGTTCTCACATAGGCTCTCATTCCTGAAAGTGACTTTAAAAAACTGGGAAAATAAAAAAATTAGGCTTACAACATGAAATGGAATCAAATAGATAACATTGTTGATGTGTATATGTACTGTATATCTTAATTTATCTAAAATCTAATATATCTTTATTTCTTAATTTTAAACACCCCTCCTCCAGTGCACTATAAACACTTACATATTATCTGCAACGGCATGTTGAGTTGGATCGTTCAACATAGTCTGCTGATCCACTGACTGAGCATAGTCCATAGTCAGGTTTGAGGGTAATGTAAATAACATCTCATCTTGTTGCATTCTGTAAATGAAGCACATTATTACAATAAATGTAAATTATGCATTAAACATGATAAATCACCAAGCAGATATAAAATCATACTTGAAGTTGTAGTCATTTTTCAACTTATCCATTTTTAAATCAAGATCTTCCTGTTTAAGACTACAATAGTATACATGAGGTTATAAACAATGTTACAAACAAAAGATAAAACATTGCTTTCATTATTTATTTGTTTTTTTAGGATGAGAGAAAGTTACATGATATGTAAAAAGAGATTCAGGTGAACTATTTAAGATTCTGTTGATTACAGGATTATTGATATACACATAAATATTCTACTTCTAAATGTAGATTATCATACAGTACCTTTTAACACCATGTATCTGGGTTGTGTCACTGAATGTAGTTAGGCAATCCACTGAGTGATTGCTTTTGAAAGAGCAGTATGAAGCTGCAGGGGAAGGTGCCTCATCTGGTCTTTCACTGTCAAAATGGGAAATAAAAATTATGCAAGATATTGCATTTTTTTGTTATCATTTAAGCACACCATATAACTTCTGACACAGTTAATTATCATACTTTTCTCCCATAACACCTGCTCCATTATACAGCACACTTGATTGAGGAAGTGTGGGTCCTGGAGATGGTTCCCCATTTGTTCTCAGACTGCAGGAGAATACATAAAAACAAACACATAAATAAAGATACACAGAAATAAAGATACTCACATAGCACACAGTAATGTGGTTTTATTTAAAAAAAAAAAGTTTCTTCTTTATTCATGACAGAAAACATGAATAACTTAAAAATGTGGGTGGATGATCACTAAGGGTTCCACTGACAAATGTACATTGACCATTTGCTCTTTTACTTGTGGATTGGAGGAAAAAAAGGATGTTGTTTAAGAAAAGTGTTATACTAGTGTTTTGAAACCTAAACTAACTTAATGCTCCCTAATTTAAACAAATGACAGAGAACGAAGAAAATATTAAGATACTGTATGTTTTAACATCAAATTGTGAAACATTGGAAACCTGTTCAATTAAGTTGTTAAAAGTAAAATACTTTCATATCTAAGCCTAATGTGCATACTATTCCCAGGCTGTTTTCTCAGAAAATGTGGTGCCACCAAAGCTTTGGGTGTGTTTGACTGTATTTACCTGTAACTCTGTTTAGCCCAATTTAGCCCATTTGCCTGCTGTAGGGCAGGTGGATGTTGAAACTGAGAATCGAAAAACTTACGCTGTACCGGCATACTCTGTCATAGAGGGGGAAAAAGAATAAAGAAAAATAAAGGGTTTGTAATAAACATGAAACATATATTATCATCCAGCCATTGTTATTAGAGCTTAAGCAAAATGAGCTAACCAACAGCTCTCTCGTGTTTTTGACAGCTTATGTCAGTGACCTGAAATTGAAAAAAAAGTAATAGCAGCCAGCATGCACTGCTTCGAGTTACAGTAGATGCCACTGATCTGTGTGAATCTACGTGCCTGCTTTGCTTTCTAAGCATGAAAAATCCACCTCTGAAGAGCACTTCTGAATGGCAATAATCATGGCTACCACACTGAAGAATTATTCTTGACTGATATGTTAAAAATGGAAAAAAAATCTAAAAAGCACCCTGGAATGAGTGATTTGGAAGGATACAAATAATAAACAATTCATACCCATTATTCTTTGAGTAACGTTTATTTATAAACAAATTTCGAGAGGAGCACATGCTTATGATTGTTCTCAGCTGTTCCAGCACCAGTTCATGACCAATCAGATGATTCCTAACTCACTATAAATAACCACAGTTCCCCTTCATATGGGAACTACTACGTCTGTCTGTATAAAAAGACTTTGGGAGTGCTTTAGATGACCAATCATTTCTGAAGATATAAAACGGGCCAATGAAATGCTAATTGAATTGGCGAAGCTTAGCTTCACAACTGAAACTAATGAGCCAATTAGGGCTAGTCGGTTGTGTGAGTTAGCTCGTCAGAATTGTTGCTTCAGATTCGATCTGAGACCTTTCTCAGAACCCTTTCTGCTGAGCTGACTTCCAGTCGAAGAGAGCATTCCTTTCACCAGTGCGAGAAAAGGCATTGTTGCAGCGGTCGAACTGGGTTTCGAGGGTTACAGTGGGGGCTAATCCGTTGCCTTTATGCCCGCGGACCCCTCGCTCCTCATCAGTGCACTCTGTTTTTGCTTCAAGTGTGCGTGCTGGTCCATCCTATGGGTTAGCAGCGCTCTAATTAGATGACACCGGGGACGTGATGTCCATCGAAGCATCGGAGGGTGGGTTGACATGCTCCGATGAAGATCTGGACCCCCTGCCACCCTCCGGGGTTGTCAGCGAGGTTTTGGACCTGGAGTAGGACATGTTAGCCGTGTTATACCCGGCTGCTTCGGCCGTGGGACTGGAGATGGCTTGTCCCCCAGAACCGCGGCCGGACTGCTTAGATGGGTGCTACGTGGGGGTAAAAAAGAAGGCAAAGGCTTCCAGACCCCCCGTCCCCTTCTTCCCGGAGGTACACAGAGAGCTCACGCAGGCATGGAAGGCACCTTTTTCTGCCCGGACCTCTTGCGCTCCTGCTCTCACCTCTCTCGATGACGGAGCGGCCAGGGGTTATGAGGCGATTCCCCAGGTGGAGCGGGCTATCGTGGTCAACCTGTGTCCGCAGAGCCACTCCACTTGTAGAGGTCCACCCAAACTCCCTTCCAAAGCGTGCAGGTTTACTGAGTCTCTCATGGCCAGAGCATACACCTCTAGCTGAGCTTGGGCAATATGCGAGACTTGGACAAAGCCCGCTTTCTTAACGCTCCAACCAAATTGGCGGCAACCAAATTCTCAATAAAAGAGCAGTTTCCTCTCTCTCTGGATGCGCAAACCCAAGCAATGCCAGTCTGGGACGCTCCGCCTTCCATCTCACAGCGCCGGGACCCTTCACCTCAGGCCCTCGGAGTGCAGCAGAATAGACTCTTTTTTCTCACTCTGGCCTCACTGTGGGATCCAGGGAGGAAGGTAAGAGAGATTCTCTTATTTTCCGCTCTTCCTCGGGCCGCACCGCTTCCCGGGATGAGCACTCCCGTCACGAGCTGCCCCTCCGCTGGCACGTCAACAATCGCTTTGATGGTGCCATTAGCGAGCACTCTGTCAGCTTGGTTAGCGCTGCCCAGCACGTCGTGGTGGCTCATACGGACGGTCAGACTCAGCAACGTGATACAATTCGCTATTCCTCCTAAGTTCACGGTTGTCTTTTTCACGAGGTTCATCCGCAAGAGCGCCCCTGTCTTGCGAGAGGAGATTGCTGTCCTCCTGGCGAAGTATGCAATCGAGCAGGTCCCTTCAGCCGAGATGAGATACGGGTTTTAAAGCCCGTATTTCATTGTTCCCAAAAAGTGAGGGGGGAGGGGGTGGGGGGTGGGGTAAGGACAATCCTAGATCTGCGCAGACTGAACTGTCATTTACACAAAATGCCTTTCAGAATGCTCACGCAGAAACGCTTGATTCAGAGCGTCCGTCCACAGGATTGGTTTGCAGCCATAGACCTGAAGAACGCATATTTTCACATCCTAGCACACGTATCCTTTGCTCCACTCCCTCAATAAACACCCTACGAGGATTTATATCGCCTCTCTGTGTCCGTGTGATCTCTACCTCGTGACAATATTTAAAGGACATAATCACAGAGGAGAAATCAGATGCTCAAGACATAATCTTTAAAACAATGACATACTAAAAATGCAGCAAATATATGACAGACGTTTGCAACAGCTTTTTTTTTCCACGGAGCGAAGCATCATCCACCCACAGTTGTTTAAGGCGGACACGAACTAAATAAATATAAACATATTTCCTTGAAAATGTATCTTTTAGTAACGAATTTCGTTTTGTATAATGTGTAGTTTAATTTTAATGTATATTTTGTTGGTCAGATATCTACAGCATAAACAAGAGGAACGTATAACATCTGAGGTAAAGCGCTTTAACACAAGCCCGCTATATGCTTTAGCGCCAAAACAATCCATCAAACTATTTTCACGGTTTCATTTTAGTTCATTAACTAAGCGCAGTCTGAGCAGCATGAACTGCAAAGTCTTTTCGCAGCACTGATAGATTTCTTGGGTTACCTCAGAAGAATAAACTTGGATGGAGCTCAGGAGCTCGCTGTGTAAATGGAGAGGCTCCCCGGCTGGCTCCCCGCATGTTTTCGCTGTGATGCGCGATTTGTAAAATGAGAGTCTGCATACGCCTATTCGTGCTAGTCTGTCAGACAAATTTGGTTAAAAAACATGCGCGGATATATCGAAGATATGCGCATAACAAGGTTTTGTGCGACCCGCAATATGGGATGTCAAGAGGGTGACAGCATAAGTAAGGTAAACTGCACACACTTGATTATGTAATGCATGGATGCGTCTCAGCGCAAAGCATAACTAAACCTTTACATGTCCATGCTTAATCAGTCATCGATAAGGTCTATCAATTAAAGCGTTATTGACAATCAATAGATCAAGTAATCATTAGCATCCCTAAATAAAATACATTAAAGTATATTTCAACCTAAATTCACCATAATCACCATTAAAAGGAGAGTTCATCCAAAACTGAAAATTCTGTGACTATTATCACACGTTGTTTCAAATCGGGTCTTTGGTTGTTGAAAACTTGAAAAAGTAAATGCTGAATAAAGATTGTTCTTTTGTTTATTATTTTATTATTTATATTGTCAGACAGCTAAAAAATTTCCCTAAATGTGTTAAATCAGCTGCTCAAGGCCATTGGCATGCTGAAAATCTTATATAATTGATAGATATAACGATTTTACATTTATCGTGATAAATATCGATATCGAATAATATGAAAAAAATTATCGTGATGTTTTTTGCCATATCGCTTAGCTCTAATCAACTGTATCGGGGGTATACGCTCCTGCCGCATGTCTCAGCTCGCTCGTCATCTGCTCCTTTGGAGTCACACGCGGCTGATATCGCTGCATGCCATCCACATTCCGGGTAGGGATGCTCAAAATAATCGATTAACCGTTAACCGAGAGGGTGCGTTTGAAACCGATTAATGCTATCAGTTAAACGATTAAAAATATTATTTTATATATTTGTAGTTTGGCTGCATAAGGGGCCGATTGAATGCGCCTTCGCATTAAGAGGGGCATCTTTTGCTCACGGCTCATCCCAGAGCAGCAGTTTGTGTTGTCAAGACAACTACAGAGAACTTTTAAAGAGCTTGGTTTCCGCTACATTCATTCTTCAATGGCGGGAACCAAAATGCATCCATCCACGGCTACATTACCCTTTCAAAACATTCAGTCATTGTTGTTGTTTTTAATAGAGGATTAAAATCGCACCAAAATGTATTAAAAGGTAAGTGAATTATAACAGCGCAAACTTTTCTGTAACCATATATAGTGCTGTGCGCTATCTGTTGGCGTTACGTGCTGACTGACTGACTGACAGCTGCGCGATGCGTGAGGCCAGCAAACTTGACGAAGCTTTCAGTTAAGATGAACACAGTTTCTATAGTTATACTTTATTTATAGATAAAGGTATATGGCTCTGCATATTATCACTCTATCTTGCTGGAGTTTATAGCCATTTCGCTTTACTTCAGGACGCATTAATGCCGCTCTGAAGGTCTAATCGCTGTTTTAAGTTATCCAGAGCTGTATGAATGTACAAATCTTGAATATCACAATAGTATTAAATATTACAGTTGTAACAACACGGACAGCAACACTTTTGCACAATCGATACCCAGCTGATTCAGTCGTTTCATAAGAAGACCGCGCTTCTTCTATTCTTTTTTCCTTGTCAACATAAAGGCAGTGAGATGCGCCTTTTCAGCCCTGATGCCATTTCGGCTGATGTTGACCTGGATCTGCATCATAAACGCAACAAATAGGCTTTACATTTTATTTTACAGCTTATAAAGCATGTAAGCATGTATGCACATTAATGCAATATCATATTTAAACAACAAAACTGTTTACAAAAAGTCAACATATGCGCACATTGTTGTTGTCTTTTCATCACGCAGCGTGCGCACTTAACCGCAAGGGAGAGAGAGGAAACCATATAGCAAGTAATAATCTTTAAAATAATGATTTCGATTAAAAAATGTAAAAGGTTTTGTGATTATAATAATAACAGCGGGGCATTAAATAAATGCATATTTTCCGTGGAGCGAGCAATTTGAGGAAGTCAGCTATTTTTATTTGACGGAAGATAAAAACATATGATTGGAAAAAA